CTATTTCTCTTTTTTTGTTTTTCTTTTCCTCTATTTCTCTTTTTTTGTTTTTTTCTCTTTATTTCTTTTTCTTTTTTTCTCTCTCTTTCTCTCTGTTTCTCTCTTTCTGTTTTTCTCTTTCCCTTTTTCTGTTTTTCTTTCTCTTCTTTTTCTCTTTTTCCTTTTTTCTCTCTTTTCTTTATTTTCTTCTTTTTCCAATCGGTTACAAGGCGGAAGACAATACTATTATAAAATTTCAAACCCTTGCGTCCATATACAAAACATCAATCACAGAGAAAACAAGAAAAACACTAATAAATGATTGAATGGCAGGCAGCAATGTTTGGGGATGACTCTCTGAGGGTCTTTGCCTGCAGCTGAAATGTCTTTACCCGATCCAAGTCATGGTATCTGGAGCACAACAGCTTCGCGCTAATATAATGGTAAAAGCTGTCCCGATTCGTGGCAACCATGGAGATAGATCCCCAGAGGAGAAGAAGAAAAGTTGGGTATCAATTGATATGGTACATTTCATTATACAGGTACTATACACAAAGTGCAAGATCCATTTACAGCTTCAGCGCAGCAGCGGAGCCAGCAAGTTTGGCCTTCTTGACTCCCTTCCCCTCGTCGAGGAGTCTCATCAGACCCGTGACCAAGCCGACACGCTCGTGGCCCTCGGAATAGCCACTGCCTGCCCAGCGTAATCTGCACTCGCCATCCAGGAGGTAGACGTACCCAACCTTGCTGTTGAGCATGCCAATGGCCTCCTTGACCTCGTCCGAGACGCCCTTGCGCACCACAAAGTACTTGTTCCAGTCCTCTTCGGGAATGGTCTTTCTGATGGAGTTCGTAAAGAGCTTGATCAAGAATGCCTTGAGCCCGTCCTCTTCAATGTTGATGCGCACGTGTTGCGCCTTGCCCTTGTGCTCTTTGAGCACAGCCTGGAGCTCGGGATTGTCCTCGGGAGAGACGAAACTCTTGACTTGGCCCTCTGCCCACTGGCCGCTAAAGACACTGACTATTGTGATCTTGCCCGCAAGGATGGGCGTCGTGTCGTGAGGACCCTTATCCGTCTTGGAAAGAGTTGTACCGTACAAGTTCGGGAACCACAGCGAGAGGTCTCCCTTGAAGGGTCGAAGCGGGCTGATAAAGGTCTTGCCTTTGTGGTGTTCGAGGTTGGTCCAGTCGCGAAAGTACGGTTTCCGAAATTGGGTTTTACTGATGCCGGTCATCATGTCAGTTCATGGTCTGCTCATACATGTCCTGGGAGGGGTCCAACATACAGCTGCTCACGTCTGGCCAAGTGCTTGTCCCAATTGACGAAATCATCTCTCTTCTGTCTCACAGATCTGTTGTCGATACCGGTGTTCTGGCCAGGCTCGGGCGGATGCGGCATGCCTATCGGCCGGGGCAACGGCACCGGCGTAAACTCCTCCACCCGCTTTCCATATCCTCGAGGCGCATTCTCCAAGGGCGATGGGGGTATAAATTTTTGCGGCGCCGGGGAAGAAGAGGTAGAATTGGTTATCGACGGTTTCGAGGCAGCTTTCTCAGCCTCCTTGGCAAACCGGCGGTACGAAGTGCTAAAGGAGCGCCATTGGCAGAGCAGGCACAGGAGCTGCGGCCTTCGGGGGAATGACATGATGGACAAGCTCAAACACCGTTCAAGGCAATGATTAGTGTAGTATATACAGATATCCAGGAAGGAGACGCAGTCGGACCAAGCTTGTGTTGGCTTGTCGTTGACTGGCTCTCGCAACACTTCGGTCCGTTTATGGCGGCTGTCTTTTTTCTCCAAAAAAATTCGGGGCCATTCTAACGCGTTCCCAGTGAATCTCCAACTCAATTGCCCAGCAGCTCGGGGACCCGCTACCTAATCGTTATCAGGTACTGCTCTTATCGGCACAGTCTCCAGGCGCTAGAATAGCGGCCCAGGGGTTTGTATTCCTACCCCGAACAGCGGTTGTCAGCGGCCTTCCCCAGACTCGGCTACTAGCGGTTATGGCGGGGTGAATAGGCCGGCCGTCATGCTATTGTGCTGCACTGACTTCCTCCCTCCAGTTACGATCAGGTGGCCGCGACAAATCTCACCGCGGGCAAACATTCCTTGTGCCGAGCAGCGCAGACTGTCAATTCGTTTCTTCCTGTTGTTCCCAGTCTCTCTTTCGTCAATGATGATATGAACGTGTAGTAGAGAAAAGAAAAGAAGCCATCATTTCAGTTTCTCCTCGTATAGATCTTTTATATATACAATGTTTCTCCAGCGAAGCTCCCGCGCCGTCCGCTCTCAATGGTGTCGACCCCAAGGCCTGTCTCGAGTTCTGGCCCATGGATCACAAGGCGCGTTCTCCGTGTCGAGACATGGATTTCATACAAGTCGGGCATTGCAGGTGGTGAAGCCAGTCCTATTGGCAGATATAGGTGAAGGTGGGCGCCCTTGTTCCAATTGCCATGATACAAATGACATGTCACTTACTCTGTCCCGAATCCAACAGGTATTGTCGAGTGTGAAATCATACAATGGTTTGTCGAGCCCGAAGCTCGGGTCGAGGAGTTCTCGCCACTATGCGAGGTGCAAAGCGACAAGGCATCGGTAGAAATCACGAGTCGATTCGCGGGTGTTGTCAAGAAGCTACATTATGATGCCGGCGACATGGCCAAGGTTGGAAAGCCATTCGTAGACATTGATATACAAGGCGACGCCAAAAAGGAAGATCTAGAGGCATTGACCGCGCCCGAGCCATCACAAGGGCAAGGTGGTTCTGGAGAGGCCTTGAACAAGGAAAGCTTGAGCAAACCTCCAGAAGGAAAGACAACAGAGACCGTCAAGGCGGAAGAGAAAGCTCCAGTGGGACAGCAGAGTGATAAGCCAAAGAAATCGACCGGAAGGTTTGCCTCACTTGCTACACCCGCCGTGAGGCATCTATCCAAGGAGTTCGACGTGGATATTACAGAAATTGAAGGCACTGGAAAAGACGGCCGTGTACTCAAGGAGGATATACACAGATATGTCGAGTCTCGCAAGTCTAGTGCCGCAGCCTCGACTCCTACACAACCGCCAGTGGACACAGCGACACAGACCGAGACTCCTGTGCAACTTACCAACATCCAAGCCCAGATGTTCAAGGCCATGACTCGTTCTCTCACCATTCCGCACTTCCTTTACACTGACGAAATTGACTTTTCGCAAATGCATTCACTCCGGACACGGCTCAACAAGGTGTTGAAGAGTTCTCCACAAGACGATATCTCCAAGCTTTCCTACATGCCATTCATCATCAAAGCCGTCTCCTTGGCGCTATACCAGTATCCGATCCTGAATGCCCGGGTGGAGATTGATGCCAATACGCAAAAGCCGAGTCTGGTCCACCGGAGCCAACACAATATTGGTATTGCCATGGACACGCCTTCGGGTCTGCTCGTTCCAGTGATCAAAAACGTGGCCTCGCGAAACATTCTCTCGATTGCCTCGGAGCTGACACGGCTCCAGACGGCGGCTACGGCGGGCAAGCTGTCCCCACAGGATCTCAGCGGAGGCACCATTACAGTCTCGAACATCGGCAATATTGGAGGCACATATCTATCCCCAGTCATTGTGGAAAAGGAGGTTGCCATTTTAGGCGTGGGCAGGATCCGGACGGTACCGGCCTTTGACGAGGAGGACCGGGTCGTCAAGAAGCAGGCCTGCAACTTTAGCTGGAGCGCCGACCACCGCGTCGTCGATGGCGCAACCATGGCTAGGGCTGCCGAGGTGGTCAAGCAGATTGTAGAGGAACCTGATGTCATGGTCATGCATATGCGGTAAATTGAACACCTGCTCTAAACAATACCATGTCATGTTTCCATACTCTTCGGGTTGGGAAACACTTGCTCACACACGCTTCGCATGAACGTATGCAAGGAAGAGGGTCAAGGACGTTCTAGATGCCGTGGATGAATACCGGTGGCGTCTGGGGTGCAAGGGTGGTGAGAAGGCAAATGGGTATATAACCGAGTATGCACATGCAAAAGTATGCACTTTCGATGCGAACCGGAGAATTAGAGAGCGAGTCTGGAATCTGGAGTATCATGTATATATCGTTATGCTGGCGAGAACAATTTGAGTCACATTTTTGAGGTACATTATTGGGTTTTACGTTGCGGGCACTTTGACAAAGATTAGGCTGCCACCATGATCATGTTTTATGGTCGTCCTCCATCACAACCACACCAAGTGAGCAAAAGTCAGCGTACGACGGCGGTGATTGATCTAAATTTGTCAATTTAGATGCATAGGAGAAGAAAAAAGGAAAGAAAACTATACTCGAGAAAATAAAATATATCTTCTTTTAAAAAATCAAGCCTCGTCTCTTTTGTAATTGGGATAAAGAAATCCATCAACTTGTAGACTCGACTACCACCATACAAAACTCGGCGTTCTGGACCCTCCTCCCCTCCGGATCTGTTTCGGTATACTAAGCCCCGGGGGGGGGATTGTGGGACCACTTTCCCCCCCGGCCCATTTCCCAAACCAGCACACCGGTTTCAACTGTCGAATAGGAACCAAGAACGGGTGCCCGCTATACACGACGCTTATGACACAAAGATGCCGCACGCGGTCTAGTTCCCGTCGTCAGAATAGCTGCAAGAAGCTCGATTGGGAATATGATGTTGAGGACGACGAATCGAAATTGAAATAGATTCTTGCTTGAACCGAGACGAAAACAGGAGTTGAATGACGGAATAATCCATGGTACAAGGCAGGTCACTTTGGCATGAGCTTCATCTGTTTTCTGTAGTATCGGGAAAGTCGAGTCTTATTCTCATCATGTATTTCTATTCCATGCCGGTCGAGTTGCGCTCGGTTCTCCAACATGGACTTGATAAACAGAGGTCAAAGCAACTCGCTACCAACTCTGTACCCCCTCGTACACAGGGAGAAATGACCATGTCGTCAATTCTAGAATATCCAAATGCTGTCCCTAATGGATTTCAACGCCACAAAGTCAGAATGTCTTGACAAGAGAACAAGTGCGTTTTCTCGTTGTCATGTGCTATCGCAAAAAGAAAAATCATCCGGCCCATTTTGTGTCCTTTGGACACCCCAAACTCCCAAAACAGGAAAACCATGCAGATCGAATACCATACTTTGTGGGTATACTGAATAGAGCATGGACCTAGTCCAAATTGTAGGCAAACGAACATGCGGAATGAACAAGGCGTCTTGCCGCGAATCCAGTCTAGCTCTACGCCAAGACCGTTTCCGCGACCCCCGACCCCAGGCTAGGACTGGGCGTCCTCGTCCATCTTTTGCAGAACCTTGTCCAATGCTTCCCGTTGCACCTCTTCCATGGTGCTGCTCACGTCGATGCTGATGACGTCGGTCTCCTCGGCAGTGGGCGGCTCGAGAATAGAGAACTGGCTGTGGACCATGCTTGCGCCCATGTAGTGACCCTTGCGGGCACCGACCCGCTGGATAAGCACATCCTCTGGGGCGTGGAGGTAGACAAAGTGTAGGATCACATCGTGCGAGTAGTAGGGGGCCACTCTGATGACATCGCGATACTTGCGCTTCAGGGCAGAACAAGTGAGCACGACACCGTCGGCTCCTTCAGCCAGCTTCTTGAGAGATGCCTCGCGGAGCACCGTCAGCCAGTCCCATCTGTCCGAGTCCGTCAGCGGGACACCACTGGCCATCTTGTCAATGTTGGCTTTCGGGTGGTACTGTAAGCACATGTTAGCTGGATAATCTTTCTAGCGGATTTTTGTATCTGGTGGTTCATACCTCGTCGCCCTCCAAGTAGGGGAACCCGAGAGCTTCTGACAAATGTGCAGCGACTGTGCTCTTTCCGCAGCCAGCTGGGCCCGTAACTAGCCAGATGTGGTGATGTTTTGTGGCTGCATTGCTGTTCTGGGCGGTGGTATTCGATACGTGTGATGCATGCGTCATAGTGGCTGTAGTAATGGGCTTCGGGTTGGGTCCGACGGTTGATGCATTTGCACTGCCCATTTTGGCAGAGTTTGTCTTGGGTAAAGAAATTGGACTGTCGTATGAAAGCATCTTGACTTCCTTTGTGTGCCAAGGGGCGGACGCTTAATATAAATAAATATGCGGGATTGTTGGCGTCGTCGCTTCCGGGTGAATGAGGTGCAAGTGTAAGTGAATAATACAGCCAAGTGACGCGGGCAATGACTACTTGTGAATCACTAGTGATCGCAAACTGTCGCCGATCATAAAAAGGTTGTTTCTTTTCGGGATCGTCTATTCAAGGATAAGGTATACTTTTTTGAGCCTGTTACACAACTAGAAGAAGCGGCAGAATCACAATGCAGGAATAATGGAATGGTAAAAAAGGCGTAGGGAAACTGTGAGAATAAACATCGACTCGAACACACAAAGCTTGGAAGTTGGGGGGCGCGGCCCGGGTCGGTTTTATGGCTGATGTCAGAGCCTCACACACGCATAGAACTGACGGGGGGCAATGGGGAACGGGTCCGGGTTCAATGAGGTAAAAAATTCGGGTTGCTGACTTGAATAGAGTGCCAAAGTGCCCATGTCCAACCCATGGAGCCAACTAGTGAGAAGAAGCAATGCCCCCTAACTAGGTAGGCAATGTATTTTTCCAGCGAATTCCAGGTGCCTGGATGATGGGCTGGGTTGGGCTGGTGGTTCTGGCTCGTCTGGCTTCGTTTTCCAGCTCTCCCGCGGGTTGAACTTTGCGCCTAGTGTAGAGTAGAGAGGTCCGATCCTATCCCTCAAATGTCAAAGAGGGCAAGTCTCAGGGGTGTCGGAGCCAATCATGGGGCATCATTTGTCTTCCGACGGTTTCGATCCACAAGGATCACGAACGCTGGAACCAGGAGGACTGGGAGGAGGCATCCTGTCCAGGTACTCGTCGGTACCTTGTCCGGCACAGGGTGGGAGGGCGACCCAAACTGAACGGATGGAGTCGATTTGAGCGAGCGAGCCCAACAAAGTCCTCTACCGGAGGCGCGCCTCGAGAACCAAAGAGGCCCAGAGACAGAGAGAGAGGCGCGGGCTATTATTGCCTGCAGTAGAGATGCATGCACGCCTTAGCGAAGGCACAGCCGCACTAGCAGAAAGCTCTTGGGCTTATTCTGCCCTTTTCTTCTACTTTTTGTAACACACGACTGCCCTTGCCGGAACTTGTTGCCTTTTCTTCCAAGTGGCCGGTCATTTTTTTCAGTCGTGGCCATCGTGTTGTCCTTTTTTGGGGAAATACAATGATACATGGCACAGAGCAACGTTGCAGAGCCATGAAGGACCAAAAGAGGGACCTGCCAGCCTACCCACGGGCAATCGACCCAAAACTAGTGATTCGGGGGGCGGGAGGAGAAGAACATTCATGGAAGGACAGCGGCAGACGGTTTCGAAGCTTGTGGATCGTGGACCGTCAGAATGGGTGGACCGTCCGTGACTGCACGTCTCCAGCAGGCAATCTTGGAGCTGCCCGCTTGGACTAGTTTATGGGGAAGTGGGATGTAGCCGACTCGGACTTCGTCATACGTACTGCCACTGTTTGTTTCTCTCGTGGTGAGCATACATACATACCTACACGCCTCGTTCTTGTTCTCGGGAATTCGGCAAGTCAACAAGACAAAAGTAGTCTCATGAGCCATATATGTTATTTGCTAGCTGTTCATGTCCCTTCAGACTCGAGAATGAAACGGCACATGTCTTTGCTCAAGGAATAAAAAAAAAAAAAAGACAAAAGTTGGGAGCAATTAGAAGTCGACGCTCGTGACTAGCACATAGTGTAGTAGAATGAAATTGAGAGAAAAAGCGTGGGGGTCACCAGACGCTACGAGGAGTTCCGCCCAACGGATCCGCAGATTTGAGCGAGCGACTTTGTCCCGGACTCGAGCGAGAATCCATTTGGTTGGTAGAGTTGTGGAGCAGAACGTGGTGTGTGGATTTTTTGGTTGATTTTTTTTCTTTCCTCTTTCGCTCCCTCGCTGTTTCTCTTCTGCTGTCTTTCGGAATGGGCGAAAGCAGGATGAGCAACGAATAGGGGGATAATTTGACTTGATTGGCGGAAACCGGGGGCAAGTTCAAGCTGAGAAGCAGTGTACTGTACTTTGAACTTGTTGTACGGACCGACATTGGTGCGAACATGATATTCTTTTTCTTTGGAGGGGTTGTTTCTTTTTGTGCGCTGTGATTGTATGGTTGGCAATTGGTCACTGTGCCATACACGAATGCAATGTTTCCTCTGGGCATTGGAGGCCAGCATAGCTTGTTGTTTTAGCTGCAGGTACAATTGAGTACATTGTGACAATCCATGTTAGCAGGGGACCACACGTAATGACGAAACCCAGCTGTGGGATTTGCGGATAGTCAACTTTTTTTTTTTTCTTGATCGTTGCAGGCGTGATCGGGTTGAAAGTGACCCCCAACTTGGCAACCCGCTGGAGTGCACCTCTTTTACTCCTCATCGGTCCTTACCCCGGGTGAAAGGCACTAATCTATTTCAAATTAAACCCACGTTGTCACTCTTATATATGCAGAATGGTTCTTCTCGTGATGATACCTCGCTACGTGGGCCAATTCGCTACGTGGACAATTATGCAACACAAAGTAGTTTAGGACCTTTTCACGTTCCATCTGACATTTAGATTTTTTACCGCTCCTTTCCACCGATGGAAAAAAAAAAGGAAGAGAAAAAAAGAAAATAATTCAAAAAAAAAAAGGCAATGTCGGATAGCGGGTGCTTTTTCACCGCAAAATGGTCACGAGGGCATCCTGAATTTTGATTTGCCGTACCGACCTGGATAGCTGCTGTCGGCACGGTTCGGAAGGCCATTCCGGTCTTCCAAAGCGGATCCCCGGCGGCGTTGAAACTGGTCATAGTATGATATGCAGTCGCTGTGGTTGACATGTCCAGCTTCTACCTAGTCTGGCTGTCTCTGCATCCGGTCTAGGTTTTTGCATTTATTGACGCGCCAACTTTTTACGGCATTTGGAGCCGGTTGTCACGGATGTTATGTAGTGTGTTGAACGCGGGTTCCAAGTAATTATAGGTTATGCATCTCGTAAGGCTGTTTCATGTTGGAATCGTATAATCCCGTGAGCGGTGAGATGTGAAGCCGGCCTGGACGTACAAATTGGCATGTCTGTACGGCCACTCCTCACCTAGTGATTGGCATGGCCATCTGGATTCTGGAACCTGGGGAAGCAAAAGCCGCATTTCTACTGGACTTGCGTGTGGCAATTCGTGGGGGTTTCCATCGCATGGCTTTCGCTCAATATTACATAAGACTGGGTCATTTACTTTTCGTGACTTGGGGCCAAGGCGAATTCAGCACCACTCATCAGAACTTGACTTCCTATTGCAATGCAGGAATACTCGCTACTTGGAGGTACCTCAAATTCTATAGAGTGCATAATAGATGTTTGGTCGTCAAGCCGATGCAGTCTGGTTTCACGCATTAGCATGTTGACTTTTCTGGAACAGGTACAAAAGCCAAACTGGTTGGTGTCGCCGCTTACATTCGCCAAAAATAGTAAAAATCGCCGACTTTTCACCCTAGGCTTTTTCCCGTTTCTTTCTTGATTGAATCGCAGCTAGAGAGAGCATGATCGAAGACATGTACCTTGACGTACTGTTTGCAAATACGGCGCATTTGATAAACTAGATTCCGCTTTTGCCTGGTCTCAGCAATTGCAAGTCTTATTTGCAATGGTCGAAAATAACAAATTCCATCATGTCTACGTGCGTGCACGAGTGCGGGGAGTTGGCAATGTTAAAACCTGGCGCGGGGAGGAGCTCCTCCTTTGACAATTGGCTGGTCGGACGGGTGACAGACATCATTGCAGTGGGTTCCAGTGCATTTGGAAAAGGTTCCACGCAAATCAATGACGTTGTGGAATAATGACATTGTTCCAAAACATGGTGACAGCGTCAATGGAAATGTGTATATTCGATTCAAGAGCAAGATGCTATAGATGTGCGGATACGCGCAAACGACTTTAGCATATGAATATCTTTGCTCCGGATTTCATTTCGCCCAAAAGCGCTCGCCAACTTCCAGCAGGACTCTCCAGTCCTCGAAATCCCAAATAGACTAGAAAGGGAAAAGAGCGAGTTCATCTTGAATATATCCCATTTTGACTTTCTCCTGTCCTCTTCCTTCTTTTTTTTTTTTTTTTTTTTTTACCCCCATTCTCCTCTACTCCCTACTGCTTTCTGTACCTCTTTGGACAGAGAATCAGAAATAGCCAAATATTGACAGGCTCACAAGCGAGAGGTACATGGTCGCAGGATCTCCTCATGTGTAATGCAAGCAGGGCACACTCCAAGATCGATTGCCACGTGGATTGGAGCCCGATCAGTACAATTTGGCTCAGTCTAGGCGACTGATCAATAGCCTTAATTTTCATGCTAATAGCGTTATTAGACCCCTGACGAACGATTTTCTTTCCGGAATTCCAGGATATACTGATGTCCCATTTGGATTTATTCTATAATCAGGGGTACAATCAGTGCATGTTTAAAGTCATGAAGCACAGGCTCGTGACATGTGCAATTAATGTGTATGTACCCCGGATTTTGACCCCCATGCCGTTGAGTCTTGACTCGGATGTGGCTTGCGACTGTTGTGGCTCAATTCAATTTTTTTTTTTAACGCGGCAATGGCCACTGTCACACAGCTGTTGCAAAAAAAAGTGTGCAATTGCTTTTTCCAGTGCATCGGAGTACATTGACCTTTCGCTCTTTTATGCTCCGGCTCTTTCTTCTTTTGGTATTTGGGTTTAGCAATAATATATTGTTTTCAGAGTTCAAGTGGACATCAAATTTTGCATTTACCAGCCCGTGTTAGGAAGGTCTTGCTGGGTTCAGGTCAGGTGGTGACGGACGACGGTCGCGGCAAGCGACGGGCAAAGCAGCAGGCAGACAGGCAGATCTGAGGCACTGCAACTGCAGCCAACAAGCATTATTGATTGAGTGGGTGGTTCCGTTTTGACTGCCCCTCATCCTCAATGAAGAGCTTCTCATCGACTTTGTCTCGAGGCGGCCTGAGACGACTCCAGACAACCTCGAGATACCAAACCCGCAGTTCCATTGTACCCTTGTGTAACTTGCAGACTGCCACCACTACTTTTAATAAGCCTATCACATCCATCCGGTTCTGTGCATCGCTCGCAAAGATGGACGCCGCCGATCTCAAGCACTATTTGGCCGACTCCCCTCCCACCATCGTAAGACTGGAAATCGAGAAGCATTTCGATGCCTTGACCGACCAGCAAAAGAGATATGCCCATTTCATTAGCAAGTGTGTGAACCCCACCGCGGCCACGTCCCCGGCTCTCCCCATGCAATTTGCAGCTATAGCAAACTGACACAATGCTGCTCTCAGAGCCGCCTTTGCTGGAACCCGCGTCGTCCTTCGACAAATCTCTCCAGAGTCTGAAGCCATATATGACTTCATTCTTGCTCTCCACAAGAGCTCTGGCGGCGACTGGAAGGCCTTGCAGTCCAAGGCAGGCATTTCGGACGAGGATCTTGACTATTTCCTGCAGTATGCCGGCCAATTCCTAGGCAACAATGGCAACTACAAGAGTTTTGGCGATGCCAAGTTCATCCCGAGAAGCTCAGAATCCGCCATTGCAGCCCTCGCAGCCACTGATGCCACAGCGGACAAGTTCTACAAGGCAACAAATGGTGCCATCTTTTCGCATGACCGCCCTTCCCTGATGCACCTTGGCTATCCAGAGGAAGGTCACATGACTACCTACTATCCAGACTCCCCCAGTATTACCAAGGATGAAATTGATGCTGTTTCTGCTTGGATGGAGAAGAAGGGTCTTTTGCCGGAAAACACTAGACTTTCCAAGTCCAGCTCGGGTACCTTTGACATCAAGATTGCATCGGCCGACACATCGGTGCCCAGCGAGGGTGGTGATATTGGCAAAGACGCATCTTTCACCGTGGAAGAAGGACCCCTTGCCGGGAAAACCATCAACCTCGTATATGGCGACTATTCCAAGGAAATGGCAGCGATTACTGAAAACATCAAGAAGGCTGCAGAGAATGGTGCCAACGAGACACAGAAGAACATGTACAATGCATACGCCAAGTCTTTCAAGGACGGTTCGCTACTTGCTTTCAAGGACTCTCAACGATTCTGGATCAGAGACAAGGGACCAGCAGTCGAGTCCAACATTGGTTTCATTGAAACCTACAGAGATCCGGCCGGAGTCAGAGGCGAATGGGAAGGTTTCGCGGCTGTTGTCAACCAGGAAAGAACCAAGGCATTCGGTGATCTCGTCAGCGCAGCTCCCGATCTCATCCCCAAGCTGCCCTGGAGCAAGGAGTTTGAAAAGGACAAGTTCCTCGCTCCTGACTTTACTTCCCTCGAGGTTCTCACATTTGCTGGCTCGGGTATCCCTGCTGGCATCAACATTCCCAACTACGACGATATTCGACAGACTGAGGGATTCAAGAACGTCTCCCTGGGCAACGTCTTGAGCGCAAAGGCACCCAACGAGAAGATTCCTTTCATTGCTGAGAAGGATCTGGAGATTTACCGCAAGTACCGTGATGATGCATTTGAAGTCCAGGTCGGACTTCATGAATTGACTGGTCACGGATGTGGCAAGCTGCTTCAGGAGACCTCTGCCGGGGAGTACAACTTTGACAAGGCAAATCCGCCAGTGTCACCCATCACGAACAAGCCCATCACTACATGGTACAAGCCTGGCCAGACATGGGGTTCTGTTTTTGGCAGTGTTGCTGGTGCTTACGAGGAATGCCGTGCTGAACTCGTGGCCATGTTCCTCTCATGCGATTTCCCAACTCTCAAGATCTTTGGCTACGGTGACGGTTCAGAGAACATGGATGGCGTCGCCGGTGACTTGCTCTACGCTTCTTATCTTTCCATGGCACGTGCTGGTCTGGCATCACTGGAGATGTGGGATCCCAAGAGCCGCAAGTGGGGACAGCCTCACTCGCAAGCCCGTTTCTCGATCCTCCAGTGTTTCCTCCAGGCTGGCGATGACTTCTGCAAGCTAGACTATGAAGGCGACAATGTCGAGGGTCTGACCATCAACCTGGACCGCTCAAAGATCCTCACGGTCGGTCGCAAGGCTGTTGGGGATTACCTCCAGAAGTTGCACGTGTACAAGAGCACGGCAGATGTGCAGACAGGTAGCGACTTCTTCTTGGGCATGACCGAGGTTGACCCAGAGTTTTGGGGTCAGAAGATCCGCGGCGAGGTCCTCAGGGTCAAGCAGCCCCGCAAGGTCTTTGTGCAAGCCAACACGTACCTGGAGGAGAGCACCGGCAAGGTCTCACTCAAGCACTACGATGCAACTCTAGAGGGCATGATCCAGAGTTGGGCAGAACGCGAGGTTTGACTTGGATCACGCATGGCATCGCATGGCATAGCGACAGGGGTTGAACAGCAACAGCATCGCACATTGCGTCGGAGTCTTTTGTAACAACGTAGTGCATGACGTAAGTTTTGTAGTGTACATTCAGAAGGGAGAAAAAAAATAAAGAACGATGAACAAGCAATATACTGTTGCCAGTCTCAATTCAATGCTATAGTTTGCGACAAGGCGATATAACCATGCCGCAATGCCCAACTGCCCAGACAGTCAGCACAATTCCGGTTGGCCGAGGTGTGCTTGTGCGATAAGTGAACAATGTAGAGTTCATGATGCTTTGATACACAGTAAAGGCGGTGTCGTGCTTCATGGCCGTGGGTTGGTGTAGCGCAAACGATTGAGCGGTTTCTGAAAATAGAGTTCAGCAGTCATCTTCTATCCCAAACCATCATGTCACAACACCAATACGTGAGCTCAATGTGTAGTGATTGCCCAAACCAGTGAGGAATTTGTCATATGCTCTTTTCTTGACTTGTGAACCTCATTACAGACGCCAGAATCAATGTGACCGAATGACCGTCAACGTCCAGATGCAATTGGCTAAGCCAGCCCCAGTTTCCGCAGACACCTATCATCCGCGGCCTCTAGAAAAGTTTCGTTTCGTGTCTTCCCTTAAAAGTACCAAAGCAGTCCTCTCCCCCCAAGTTTCCGTTTTTGTTCCATGCACAGAGTCTTGAGAGTTGTTTTAATTCCTCTACCACTTCATCTCGTGGGGCTTGTCACCCTTGCGCAGGCTGAAAGAAGAGGCGAGGTAGCTGGGCAGGAAGTCGACCTTCTTGATCGAGGCAATGAGGGCCTTGTCGATGGCCTTCTGGTCGGCAGCTCGGCTGCTGCTGATCTCCTTCTTCTGTAGTAGATAAACAAACTTTGGTCAGCCCCATGATGGTCTTGGTAGAGGGTCGTCTTGAATCGTGTCTTGTCGTTTGTTCTTACCTGTGGCTTCTCTCCCTGCTTGAAGAAGGCCTCCTCACCGGCCTTGTCCTTGACCTTGTCACCAACAAAGTACTCCTTCTTGGAGATCTCGTCAACCTTGGCGGAGTCGAGACCGCTGACATCGACCTTTTGGGATGTGGCGATGACGTATCGGGAGTTGACTCTGCGCAGGGGAACACCGTTGATCTTGAAGGGGCCAGTGACCAAAAGAACACCCTGGTCGAGAGTCTTGAGGAGGACGACACGCTTGCCACGGAAGCGACCAGCGAGGAGGATCAGGACGGTACCAGGCTGGAGGGACTGGCGAGGAGTCCAAGCGCGGATGGCCTTGCGGACCTGTACATGACGAAACAAATTAGCGACTGCTCTCATCTCTTCTGTTTTCGTGAATAATTCGTTCGCTTGTTGCGTCGGGATATCGCAAATTGTCGCCGGTAGCTGGTCTTGGTCCATAGGCACCCATCTGCTTTCCTTCTCTCGAATTGCGCCTGGAGATATTTGTCGCATTGGCCCTGTCGCGCAGCCTGTATCCCAAGTTTCCCGATTCGAAGATAACTCGACCTGATAATCCCAAACTCTTGCTCTCCTCCTCTTTTTTCTTGTCTCCAGGCAGGCAATTGTGGCAGGAGATGGGTGCCCATTTGTGACCAGTCTACCGGTGCGACCTCGCAAAACATGTTTGCGTCCATCGTTCGAGGCCACTTACAGTCTTGGGCTTGGACTCATCGTCGGCGGGATACCACTTCTGAGCCTTCTCGGAGTGGTGAGGGACCTCCCGGGTCGACTTGCCAAACGTCTTGCTGGTCGGGGCCGACATTTTGAAGGGCTTGGCTGCTGTGGTGGTTAGTTGTCGGGTGGGAGGATTTGTCGGGGATGGTGGTTGAGTCTGGAGATCGTCAAGGTGTTCCTCTTTGCTCTACCCGATGGCACACAGGAAAAATGTTGTGGGTTTGGCTTAAGCCCTGCCCCGAAAATTGAAAGTGGCCGTGCAGCGCGGGCTGATAAGAAAATGTGGCTGGTGATTCGACTAGGGGCTCCCGATAACGGGAACAAAGCCACAGCGCCGCTTTGGCCGGGCTAGACACATATGTCATTGCTTAATTGGAACGCCGACGCGCCGATGGGTGGCCCAAGCTTCACTTCTGCTGGGTGGTGGTGCAAGCCAATGTGGGCTGAGTGCCTCGTCCTCAGCTTACCTTGATAGGCGCTGCCCTTGTCGTACCTACCAGCAGCTAACCTACCTTACCTTATTGGCAGGGCAGGCAAACGTAACGTACGAAGCTCCATCGTAGCCTTGCATCATCTATTGATAACCTCAACCACTTGCCCAACCACTACAGCCACTCTTCCAATCCGACAGCGCCTGCCAGTCACTACAATCCCCAGGTCGCGATCCGACGACCATACTTGCCAACCACACCCTTTCGACCTCTTCTCATCAACTTTCATCACATCTCGACGCCATGTCCATTCAGCCGATTATAACGTTCAAGGCCGGAATATGCGAGGTTGACGTGGGTAGCCCTGGTAGACTGCTCATGTTCTCTGGATGCATGACTGAATATCTCTTGTAGCCCTCGACGAAGCCGTACAAGGTCTCGGCCAAGCCTGAAAAGGGCTATGTCTACCTATACTCTGAGGATGGTACGTTGTCATCTAGTCAACGTCGTTGATTACTTGGGGGCTGGACTAATTCCGTGTCTACAGATCTAATCCACTTTTGCTGGCGGCAACGCAGCTCTCCTATTGACGAACCCGATCTGGACCTGGTCATGGTGCCTACCGATGGCCACTTTGTTCCTCACGAGTCTCACAAGCAAACGAACTCGGCCTCCAAGACGAATGGCCGTGTCTTTGTCCTCAAGTTCATGTCATCTTCACAACGCCACATGTTCTGGATGCAATCGAAACCCCAAGGCCGCAACGGCGACCCGGCTTGGTTCAGCCCCCGAGACCTCAAAATTGGCCAAATTGTCGATGCTCTGTTGCAGGGTGAGGAGGTGGATGTCCAATCCGAGCTCAACTCGGTAGTGAACAACAATAACGATGACCGTCCCGATGATGACGAGGATGACGCCATGGAGGACGTTCAGGGTCACGGCGACTCAAACGACCCTCGCGGCGGAGCCGGTGCTGGAGGCGCTGGCTCTGACGCCACTGGCGGTGATGTACGAGAAGAGGGAGAGGGTGCCAGAGAGGGCGGTGCAGACGGAGCTCGAGCGTAGGTGCATTTTCAACTAATGTTTGCCGGCGTTGTGATCAGGTCATTGTTTAGGGAAATCAGCGTTCCGGCGTCGCAAAAGCCCAGGTTGGCCTTTCAAGATGTACAAGGTCCAACATGAGGCCATCATGTATTTTAGACATCACAGAAAGATTGATGGACCTAGCTGGCAATTTCACGAATACCAAGAGCAAGACACTTTAACTGCCAGAACATTGGCTAACGTGTGTTATTTGTAGTGCTGCTGGTGGAAACGTTGACGCTGCTACTGCCGTGAGAAATCTCCTCAACTCTTTGCAAGGCGGCCTGCCTGGCCAGGGCGGCTCTGGTCCCAGCCAAGGAGGCGAGGGAAAGCTCTATCCCATGCTTTCGGATCTACTGACCCCGCCCACCACGGTCCCAGTTGCACAAGATGCCACAGAGGAACAGTTGGACGAGCTCCTCGATTACCTACCCCCTCAGGTCCTCATTCTTTCCCAGCAATCCGACTCGGGAGATGCCTCCACAGAGCCCACCCCCGCCGCCGTTGAGGCTGCCAAGCAAGCCATGAGCGTCGGCCAGAAGAAGGCCTTGCTAGTCAAGGTTCTGCGGAGTCCTCAGTTCCACCAGAGCTTGACCAGTCTTACCATGGCATTGAGAGATGGCGGTTTGCCCACCATTGCCGAGGCTCTTTCAGTCAAGGTCGAAAACAATGGCTACATGAAGGGTAGTAGTATGCCCCTCGGTGGCGGAGAGGCCGTGGAAGCTTTTGTCGAAGGTGTCAAGAAGACTGTCGAGAAAAAGTAGGATGAAACTTTGCTTTTCGTCTCGTATCGGAGATGGACACTTTGTACTTGATACTTGTATATCAGCAGCAGCTCAACGCTACAAGTATGCTTGATCGGGCTTTCGTGAACTGCTGTGTAAAGATAGGGGATTTGACACATAGAAATTCAAGTCCACAGCTAATGTGCTTCTGTTGACTTGAAGAGCACTCGGCCAAGCCAATCTGAGAATGAAGTGCTTTTCTTCCAGACTCGTCATGAAATCTCAAGCATTTGCAGCCTTTATACACAAGACACCATCACAAGTGGATCCAAAAAGCCAAGTCGCCATGTATAAACGCTTGGCCGCCACAAGCCAATCCCGTCCTATTCATATTAATGGATATTCAGTCTTCAAAGAAGACTACTATGAGAGTCTTTCCTTACGCAATGCATTAGCTGTTGGCTGTGTCTCCGGCGGCCGTAAGTCGTGTGTAAATCTACAACACACTTGGTTGGCCAGTCCCAGGCGTTCATAGCTCTGCGATTATATCCATCCAAGCCAATCTTTGACAGAGGCTATGCGCTAACAGCATCCTAGTCTGGGGCTTTCATAGTGTCACACAGTTGTCAATATTTTTATTCTTCTCTATATTTCCCAATCATTCTTTGTTAAAACTGAAAAATAAGCCATTTTGGGTAAAATGATTTGAATCCTTCAAAACGCTTCGTCGGCGTATCTCACAATTCCTGCCAAACTTGGTAAGCTTCAAGAAATTCAGATATGAAACAATGGGTCTGGACTGGATGTAGCCAAGAGGTGGTTATTTAGGTGTGATCTGTCACCGCCGTTGTCAAAATCGGCAGACATGACGAGCAATTCAAAATAGCAGTTGGCACCTTGTTGGCGCGAGGCATGATAGCACCTTACATTTGAGTCATTCTCACTTTATCATCCATCGCCGCTACTTTTCGGCCTACCGTATTGCTCAGACTACTAGGTACCAATGGCCTCTGCTGGAAAGAACATACCGACTACATGTAGATTGTTGTCCCAATTCTCATTTAGGCCACTGGCGAACCCAGCAGATGAGCGCCGAAATAAACCACATTACCTTGTTTTCTTATATCAACTCTCTACCCGGAGGTCCAAGCAACCGTCTCCCACAAGGTGCGCGTTTCTCGGCTTCGGGGACCTGGCGAAAACTTATCATTCTCCGGCGTCTATTTGGGCAGCAAACTTTATCCGTGACGGAGAAAGGGTCAGAAGGGTAAAACTCTCAACGTGAAGACTCCTGCCTATTTATTCGTCGTTGCTCCTCTTTACCACTAGAAACAATCTCGAGCTATTATCAAAATTTCCTAATCATCAGAAAAGAAGAATTTGAACAATCAGCACAAAACAATCAGCACACAAAAGCAATTCCTACGAAACATGAACCATGACCAAGGAATTTGCCAAGAAGGGCACATTGTCCAGCCTTCCCTTGGTACCAAGGTTCCGGTCAGTGGACATGACGAGGACCACGATGTGGAGAGCATCATGGCGCAACCTGGGAGTGGCATGGGCGGGGATGACCACGAGATGGTCGATGCGGATGAAGCCTTAGAAATGCCTGCTCCTAGACAACCATCCGAGTTACCGCAGATCCTAAGCGTCCCCTCTCTTCACGACGATACTCCAAGTGTTGATCACGCCGTCATCAAGCCCAACGAGTTTGCGCCTGACAAGCCCGGAATGGAGACCGAGGCTCGGTCAAACAAAGTCAAGAAGACATGTCAAGAGATACTTCTGCCCAACGATACCTTCAAGTCCCAGGTGGCCGACCCGCCCGAAAATGCTCCACGCTACACCACGGAGCAAAAAGGCAAGCAGCGTGCGAAACCACCACCCGAAGTACAACCTCATGACGACGAATACTCCTGGCTTTACGCCGAATTCCGTCTTTTGACCTTTCCCAGGAGTTGGGCTATTTGTGAACATTGCCACATGACCATCGCATCGAGCTCCAAGTTCAACGATATCCTTATGTCATGCCGCCCTCGTCCGTATGCCATACGGGTTGGACTAGATGAGTTGGTTTACCCCAAATACTTCACAGGGCTGAACACGATTCTATTCTTTGACCAGTCTGGGAGGAGGGTCGAGTACGACAGGCTCTTGGCTGAATTTGGTGCTTCCCTACTTGAAGTTCTTTGCGAACCTAATATCATTGTTGAGTGTGCAGAGTTTTAAGCAATACTATGAGCCGCATGCGAGATTGGTATGGTGCCCTATGGGGTCTGTTTAGTGGTGTGAAGATGGATGTATTGATTAAGTCCTCCTTACGGGAGGACTACTTATGTGTGGCTTGACTGCAAGCTGGGTGGGGCACGACCTAGCCACGTGAGTGGCTGGCCGTGGCCCCCCCCCCCCCCCCCCCCCCGGGC